GCCCTACCTCACCGAGGTGTTTGTGAAACTAAATACCCTGAAGCCTGAAAGGTGCTCAGATACTACAGTTGATGCAGGGACTTGAATTTCAGAGACAGACATCAGGAAAAGCTGGGCAAGGTATGACTGGTGTCTTGTGATGTGACACCCTGGGAATGGGGTGTGTCTGCTTTGGCCAGAGCCTGCCTCAGCTGCTCAGTTATTTCCTGGGTTGATTCTCCATGCAGGAAGTCACAGGGCTGCTTTGCTGAAGTCACAGGCCCTCTCACTTTGGGCAGTCCACATCCTTCTAGTTCCCTAGGGCTTCTCCATCCCTGCTTTCTGGAGCATTAGAATCACAGTAACCTGTTTTTTCCCCAAAGTCCCAGGTCCTTATCTCAGCCCCTGCCTTTCTCTTAGTCTTTATTTCCCCACCTCCACTCTCACATGTGCCTCCCCTCCACACACAAATACACAAGTCTGTTAGGCTGTTGCCAGTGTGTTGCTGCTAATAGCTTGGTTTGTTTTCAGAGTTCTGTGATCTGTGTGGAGCGGATGACAGTTTCTGGGAAATGCAGAGAGAAAAACACTGTGTCTGGTTTGAAACAAATGCCCTAGAAATGTCTAGGATCTGGTCTGGAGGCTTCCTTAGCATGCTGGGTGAAGGGGTGGTACTAAACTGGGCTGTGATGGTAGTGACACTGTGTTCAGGCTGCACTGGGATCATAGATATTGTAGGGCTGAAAAGGACCTCGAGAAGTCCTTTAGTAGTCTATTCCTCCCTGCTGAGGCAGAACCAAGTAAACCTAGACCATCCCTTACAGGTGTTTGTCTGACCTCTTACTAAAAACCTCCAGTGATGGGGATTCCACAACCTCCCTTGGATGTCTGTTCCAGAGATTAACTATCTTTATGGTTAGACTATTTTTCCTAATACCTAACCTAAATATTCCTTGCTGCAGATTAAGCCCATTATTTCTTGTCCTACCATCAGTGGACATGGAGCACAATTGATCACTGTTCTCTTTAGAACAGCCTTTAACATATTTGAATACTGTTAGTAGGTCCCTCTTTAGTTTTCTTCTTTTTTTTTTTTTTCAAACTAAACATGCCCAGTTTATTTTAACCTTTCCTTATAGGTGAGGTTTTCTAAACCGTTTATCATTTCTGATGCTCTCCTCTGGACTCTCCAGTTTGTCCACATCTTTCCTAAAGTGTGGCACCCAGAACTGGACACAGTATTCCAGCTGAGGTCTCCACAGTACCGCATAGAGTGGGACAGTTACTTCCTGTGTCATAATACAATGCTCCTATTCTACACCCCAGAATATTAGCCTTTTTCACAACTTCATCATATTGTTCACGTATATTCAATTTGTGATCCTCTGTAACCCACAGATCCTTTTCAGTAGTATTACCACCTACCCAGTTATTTTTGATTTTTCCCTCCTAAGTACTTGTCATTTATCTTTATTGAATTTTATCTTGTTGATTTCAGACCAATTCTCCAATTTGTCATAGTCATTTTGAATACTAAGTCTGTTCTCCGGAGTGCTAGCAACCCCTTCCAGCTTGGCATCATCTGCCAATTTTGTAAGCATACTTTCCACTCCATTACAGATTGATCCACTTGTGCCTGTTAGTCATTAACACACTGAGATCTTCCCAGTCTTATCTGATATTAAATAAGAACATAAGAACGGCCATACTGGGTCAGATCAGTGGTCCATCTAGCCCAGTATCCTGTCTTCTGACAGTGGCCAATGCCAGGTGCTTCAGAGGGAATGAACAGAACAGGCAATCATCA